CGTCTTTTTGGGTAGGCAACTCGATCTCTGTCCTTACTGTCTTTGTGACTGACACGTTACAGAACAGAAGCTCTAAGGAAAGGTGCTTCCGGGTCTAGGTTTCCACACGGCCCCTCCTTCGGCTCCACAGCCCATCCTGCCCTTCTCCTCCTGCTCTTCTTCCCCTTTGGGGTACACGTATAATCACCAAATACTGCTTGTCATCCTAACCCACTCAGAACGTCCAGTGGCACCTTCTGGCCTCTGTCCCTGGTCTCACCCAGCATCCCAGCACGATCTGCCTGGTGCACTCTTGGGCTTTTCTTTATACTCTTGTCATCTTCTCATGCTTAGCTCACCTCCCAGTTATGTGTGTGCGAACGACCTCGTGTTTTCAAGGAGACACTTTAGAACCACTGGTAAGTCCTCACTCTCATCTGTGAGGCTAGTAAAAGTTTAAGTATACACAAAAATTCTTAGGCTAAAAAGCCACATTCATAACCTTGATCAATCAGTAAATAAAGAGGTCCTCTACCCCTCTTGTCTAGAAGAGGTGAAGGAGTAGCACAGAAAGAAGAGTCATCCAGGTGAGTTCTGTAGGACTAAACTGTCTTTGAAGAACCAGTTCCTGCCTCACTTCTATGGTGGAGGTGTCTGGATTCAGTTCTCTTCTGTTGCTACCTACGATTAGCACCTTACTTAACTCATACCTAGTCACTGGGAGAGACAAATGAGGAGACTACAATGACTGGATCACCAAGCAGATTTCATAATGTAGACCTGTTGGCAATCGAGCCAAACAACCAGCCTAGCTGAATGAGACATCATATTTTCTTGGAATTGTAGTATAACATATCTCAAGTAAATCTTAGAATACAGGACAAAAATTCTAGAAGGAAAATCACTTGGAAGGAAATTCTAGAAGGAAAATCAAAAGGCTTGGGTGGATAAGGAAGAAAAAGGATATTTACATTCCTAAAACATCACAGGTGCTTTGTGTGTTAAACCATGAAAGAGACTCCAGGTCAGATATGAAATGTATAGACAAATCCTTAGCTGGGTTAACTAAGGAAAAAAAAAAAAAAAAAAGGACTCATAACTACAATCAGAAATGAAAGATGGGACATTAAAACCAATGCCACAAAAATAAAAAGGATTAAAGGAGAATAATATGAAAAATTGTATGCAAAAAAATTGGATAACCTAGAAGAAATAGATAAATTGCTAGAGACATACAACCTATCAAGATCAAAGCAAAAAGAAAGAGAAAGTCTGTTCAAACCTCTAACTATTAAGGAGATTAATTCAGTAACGAGAAACCCCCCAACAAAGAAAAGAGGACCAAATGGATTCACTGGAGAATTCTACCAAATTTTAAAGAATTAATACCAATACTCCTCAAACTCTTCCCCACAATTAAAGAAGACGATATACTCCCAAACTCATTCTATGAGGCCAGCACTACCTTAGTACCAAAGCCAAACAAAGAAACTACAAGAAACTGATACAAATATACTCAGCAAAATACTAGCAAACTTATTTAAATAGCACATTGAAAGGATTACACACGATGACCAAGGGGGAACACAAGGATGGTTCAACGTACAAAAATCAATGTGACGTACCATATTAACAAAATGAAGAACAAAAACCACATGGTCATCTCAATTGCTGCAGAGAGAGCATCTGACAAAACTCAGCACCCTTTCAAGATATAAACACTTAAAACTAAGAATAAAAGAAAACTACCTCAACATAATAAAGGCCATATATGAAAAGCCCACAGCAACATCATTACTCGATGTGAAAAGGCTGAAAGCTTTTCCTCTGGGATCAGGAACATGAAAAACACGCTTTCTCTTGTCAGTTTTATTCAACACAGCACTGCAAGTCCTAGCCAGAGCAAACCAGGCAAGAAAAAGAAATAAAAGGCATCCACGCTGGAAAGGAAGAAGTGAAGTTATCTGTTCGCACATGACATGCTCTTATACATAGAAAAGATTCCACACACATACACAAAACTGTTAGAACTAATAAACAAATTCAGCAACATTGCAGGATACAAAAATCAACATGCAAAAATCAGTTGCATTTCTATACGCTAACGATGAACAGCCTGAAAAGAAAATTTAAACGCTTCCATTTACAATAGCATCAAAGAGAAATAAAAGTTAACCAAGAAGGTGAAAGACTTGTACACTGAAACAACGAAACACTGCTGGAAGAAACAAATAAATAAGACACAAATAAAGAAGACACACGTAAATGGAAAGACATCCCATGTTCATGGACTGGAAGATTTGGTACTGTTATAATGTCCATACTTCCCCAAGCGATCTACAGATTTAGAGCCATCCATATCAAAACTCCAAAAGCAATTTTTGTAGAAATACAGAAATCCATCCTAACATTTATATGGACTCTCAATGGAACCTGAAGCGCCATAACAATCTTAGAAAACAAGAACAAAGTTGGACAATCTCACACTACCTGATTTCACAACACATTACAAAGGTACAGTAATCAAAACAGTGTGGTGCTAGCACAAACACAGACATATAGACCAATGGGATAGAATAGAGAGCCCAGAAAGAACTCCTCACACATATGGCCAAATGATCTTCAACAAGGCTACCAAGACCACTCAAAAATGGGGAAAGGACGGTCTCTTCAACAAACTTGTGTTGGGGAAAGTGGATATCCACGTGCAAGGAAAAAAGCTGAACTCTTACTTTATACCATACACAGAAATTAACTCAAAATGGATTAAAAACGTAAAGGTAAGAGCTAAAACTATAAAATTCCTGAAAGAAAACATGGGGAAAAAGCATTATGACACAGGATTTTTAAAATATCTTCGATATGACACTAAATGCACAGGCAAGAGCAGAAACAGCCAAATGGAAGTACATCAACCTTAAAAAGTTCTGTGTATCAAAGGACACAGTCAACAGAGTGAAAAGGCAACCTATGAAATGGGAGGAAATATTTGCAAATCATGTATCTGATAAGTGGTTTATATCCAGAATTTATGAAGAATTCCTAGAACGCAAGAAAAAAACAAATAACCCTATTAAAAAATGGGCAAAGGACTTGAATAGACATTTCTCCAAAGAAGACATACAAACGGCTAACAACATATGGAACAATGCTCCGCGTCATTAATCATTAAAGAAAGGCAAAATCAAGAGAGAATCACTACACACACATTAGGACAGCTACTATCAAAAAGACAAAAAATGACAAGTGTTGGTGAAAATGTGGAGAAACTGGAACCACTGTGGGCCGTCGGAGGAAGAATAAAATGGTACAGCCAGTATAGAAGACAGTTATGTTGGAGCTTCAAGAGACTAAAAACAGAATTACCTTATAATCCAATAATCGCACTTCTGCGACCATACCCAAAAGAAATGAAAGCAAGGTCTTGAAGAGATATTTGTATACACATGCTCACAGCAGTGGTTTTCACAACAGCCAAGAGGTGGAAGCAACCGAGTTATCTATAGACAGATGAAGAGATAAACAAAATGTGGTCCGTACAGTGGAATATGATTCAGTCTTCAAAGGGATAAAATCACAAGCTACAACATGGATGAACCTTGAGGACATTATGCTAAATTTAAAAAGCTAGTCACAAAAGGACAAATACTGAATGAGGCACCTAGAGCAGTTCAAATTCACAGAGACAGAAAGAAGAGGGGTGGGTGCCGGGGGTCGGAGAGGGGGAGGAATGGGAGTTAGGGTTTAATGGGGACAGAGTTTAGCTTTGCAACGTAAAAAGTTTGAGAGATGGAGTGGTGATGGTTACACAACTTCAACATTCTTGACACTACCGAACTGTACACTAAACATGGATAAGATGGTAAATTTTAAGCTGTTTCTTGTGACATATGGATGTGTTTCCATCACTAAAGTTTGTCAGGATTACTGGGTGTGCAAACAGCCCAGAGGCAGCTGATGAAGGGAGTGTGAATCGCGGTGCTCGTACCCGTGCATGAGAAGTGTGTGTGTGTAATCCAAGAACAGTCCACATGGTTTCTGTGTGACACAGGCAGCGGTATTAGCAGGGCCCTTTGACAGAAAATTCTCTGGTTCCAGGGAATACTCAATCTGCCCCTCTGGATATGTGTACAAATGCAGATAACAACACATGTTTCAAAAATGATGATGACTCATATGAATACAATTTTGAATCCAAAATTACTGCTATAACTGTAAACTTATTCTCCCTTGGCACCAGGAATTCTAAAGACTGAGTTTTCACCTTTTCTCCTAGAAGAATCTTAAAATAATACTTCATTTTTAAGCATTTTTTGTCCCTGTAATCTAGAACATTCTTGACCTTCTCACTTGTAGTAAGAACGAGCAGGCAATTCCGTTGTGATCAACCTTCAGTTAACATGCCCCAAGGGAGAAAAATCATCTTCCCTTTCAAAGGAAAACAAGTAAAGAGAGCGATAAAGGCCATACAAACAGACATGTCAGAACAGAATTATGCCTTTAACTTAAAATAAAAAATTAAACTTCTTTGGGGAGACTTAGGTGCTTGCTTATCATCAACATGTTAAAGTTTGCATAGCTGCTGAAACCTTAGTCTTGTTATCTGATTGTGAAAAGAAAAAGCCTTCTGTCAGGAATGTAATCTTTACATAATACTGATGCAAACAAAATGCAAATGTTTTTGGACCTCAGGAGTCAGTGAAAGGAATGCATATTCTTTTAAGAAGCCTTTAAAAAGACAAGATTGAATCGCAGCACACAACAGCATCCACCAAACTCTCTCTCTCTCCCTCTCTCTCTCTCTCTCTCTCTCTCTCTCTCTCTCTCTCTCTCTCTCTCTCTCTCTCTCTCTCTCTCTCTCTCTCTCTCGCGCGCGCGCGCGCCCCTCTGAGCCTCACAAGGAAGAGAATTTTCCAAGAAGTTATCAAGACCAAAGGACAACCCTAGCATGCCCCGCATGAGTCTGTGAGAGTCACTACTAAGGCAAGAGACACGATGGCGAGGATGGCAGAGGGCGGCACCTGGCATGAGCGCGGCGGTGGGGAACACCTCCTTCAGCTTCGCCTGGCTGGCTTCCACCAGCTCCTCCTTGGACGTGGGGAGCTGCAGGGTGTCTACGATGATCTGGGCCGCCTCCAACGCCGTCTTGCCCATAACGAGGGACTTCACATCCCAGCTGTATTTCTTCCCATAGCGACCGCACACTGCCTCGAACACCACTGAGTACAGCCGTTCAGTATCTGCAGACACAGTGAGACGAAGACACAGAGGCTTTTAGGGTGCGCGCGGCGGTAATGCCAAGTCTACATCAGAGAAGCACGTGTGTTCACAGTGCAGGTCAAGTTCAGGGCAGAAAGCTCTCTCGGGGAGACCTATGGACGTGGGGGAGACGTTCTCAGGCCATGGGGACCAGACGATGCCCTGGGCGGCCTGCTCTCTGCTGCTCGGGAACGTTACAGGCTGGCCCAGAAAGTAAGTCTCTATTACGGTGAAACTGCCTCATCTATGCGCACGCACGCATCTGGGCCTGAGCACGTGCTTGACGCCCCGAGCTGGTCCTCCCAAGCGTGCACCGTGACGGCAGCACGCAAGGGTCTGTGTGCGAGCCCTCCGCTGTTAGGGATGTGTTCAGTGCCCCGAGGAACTACTCCCACCCGGCAGGAGCGCCTGGCCGCAGGCGCAGCAGTGAGGCGCCTACGCGAGGGCAGACACTTGTGCGCGGCTCTGAGTAGGAAAACACAACTCCTGTGCTTCTCTTTTCCTCTCACGGGACCAGCTCCCTCACGGCACTTGTGTCATCAGGCATGGGGGTGGGGGGCTTCACCCACCAAGCCTTCCTGCAACAGCGGCGGCATTTCCTGCAACGTACCTGGATGCTGACACTCTGTGGTGAAGGGATCAGTCCCAGGAGGCCGCCACCCACCCCGTGGCTGCTTCTCCCGGCAGCTGACCTGCCCTTCCCCTCCCCACCCGCTAAATGTGTCGTGCTAGGGCCTCCCTGTAGGCTGCTTCCCCGGACAAGCCCTGGACCCTCAGCCCCACGGTGGCATGCTTCAGCCTTGACGATGACCAGCAACAGAAAGAGCTTTTCTTTCTCCTCTGCTTTTCAAGGCAAAATCATCTACAGCTGCGTATCAAGTACGCTCAGCGCTTTAACTCTTTGGGTCCTCACCGTTCTACCACGGGCTGGATTCTGGGGGGACGGTATAAGACACACAACAAAAAGATCTCAGATATCCACCCTCAGACATACTCGCCAGACTGTGCTGGGACATGACCCCTGGGCTGGGTAATACATTCCGGCTTTTGTTTCCTTTTCTTTTTTTGGTACAAAAGAAGGTGAGACTTGAAGAAAAGTCTTCCCGGGATCCTTGGTAGAAGCAGCCAGTGTTTGCATAATAACCTGAGTGGTTCTAGTTTCTCTAGAACCCACGCTGCACTTAATCTCCCTAAAGAAGTCCCAGCAAAGAGGGAAGGGCTGGTCCACCCCTCCGCTGGACGCTGAGGAGGGCTGTCTGTCACACATGCTCTTTTACATCCTTCTCACCTGTGAGCGGACACAGAGGGAGGGCTCTTGGGGTGGGGAGATGGATGCACTGGCAGGGAGGCTGTCCATTTTACTTTCTACACGTGAGCACTTTTCTTCTAGCGGTTGAGAGAGAGAGAAAAGACTGACAAAAAAACATCGCCGGCACCAAGCGAGTGAGAAACCACTGATGGGTTTGCGAAGGCTAGGGAGTGCCAAAAAAGCAGCAGAGGCCGGGTGGGGAGTTAACATGAGGGACTCGTGCTGAAGCAAGTGGACGGGAAGGAGAAAGGAGCATGAAAAAAGACTAATTCTGAAGACAGAATTAGACAGAATTCTGGAGACAGAAAACAGCCGTATTCTTTAAACATGCTTCAAGCAGCGTTTATTTAAAGCTGAAGCTTTTAATTTAAAAGGCACAGAACGGTGGGGTTATAAATCTGTAGGAGGCTGTGCCGACAGCCACTTTTCTTCACAATTTAGATAAAATCACCTCAAACCCTCGGTGGAATAAGCGAGGATCTGAACGCATCGCCAAGCTCCTCAGACGTGGCAATGAGTACGCCAGCTGACGACAGCGTATGATCAATGAAAGGGACAGCGTTTTGAAAGGAAAAGGTTCTCCAGAAGCTAAACTAAAATGAAGCCGCATAAAGTAGCTGTGCTCTGCGCCGTGCTTCTGGGTTATTTTTCACAGGAAACTCACGTGGTTTTCTACAGGCTACGTGCACACAAGCTGCTCCCTCCCTCAGGTGTGTTAGGAAAATACTGCAGGTACACCAGAACCTCAGCCCTGGGTCGTGGGGGGGATAGGATCCAGGCAGCAGTCCCAGCAGGTGCAGATGAAGGGATCAGGCAGGCAGTGACACGAGGGCATCGGATGGTGGGGGGCGGGGGTGGTGGTGGTGAGGGAGGTGAGCAGACAGACTCAGCCCAGAGGCTGGTATTTTCATCCGAGCTGCGGGCTGGGTACCCAGGTGGGAAAACAGGAGGCACTGACGTTTGGGGACACTGAACTGTTACTATAAAAGGCATCACCACACCTGGAAGGCCTCTCTGTTTCGTCTGAGGCTGAGCTTCTGTCGTTGTACTATGGTTAGCAACAGCTTTTATCATCGAGAACGTATTTAAATGCTGGCTGAGTCCACCCCAGGCTCTGAGAACGGTATCCGTTTGTCTTTCAGCTTATGAAGACAGAAGGGATGAGTGTATTTCCCCACTTCTCTCTTGCACGAAGCTGCACCTAATCCAGTTCTAAAGGCATGATCTGCATTATTTAATAGCAAAACCCCGCAATCAACCCGAGAGTAAGAAGCACGTAGGGTAAGAGCTGGCTTGGTTTCTCTGCCCACCCTACCTCCGTTTCTGTACCACATGGACACGAGGCAAGGGCGTCCTGATCCGAGAGGAGCAGCGAATCCCCAGCCTGGCCACGTTCTGGCTGGACGTCCCAGGAGGGGCTGCTTCGCCTCAGTGACCTGCGGCTTCTTCCGGGGGCAGCGTGGGGAGCAGCGGCCGCCCGCAGGCCCAGGCATGCCGGAGGACTCTGGGCTGGGAGCCGGCCCCGGGCTCGGAAGCCCGGCTGGCATAGGTTGGAGGCCCTGCCCCGCAGCTGGCCAGCCGCTGGGAACTCAGGACATGTGCTCGGCACCCCACTGGGCCTCAGCTTACCCGTCTGCACCCTGGGGGGGGGGGCTTCCCACGGGCACACACCTGCTAGGCGCCTGCGTCAGCTAAGCGGGTAACTGGCGTGCAGCTGTGAGCACGGCGCCTGGCCCTGCCTCCCCGCCTCTAGGGCCGTCTGGGGCACACGTGCCCTGCAGCGGCTCTGCGGAAGGCGGTCAGGGAGCATCTGTGAGCTCAGAGGAGACGACGAGCTCTGCTTTCCCTGCCTGCACACCACAGCTCCCAAAACGGCAAGGGCTGCTGCATCTGACAAGTCACAGGGCCTTGTTCTGGGTGCTTTACTTTAAAAGGAAGTGGTAACCATTTGGGATTCCCTCCCACAGTGTTACACATTCCCTAGCTTCACAAATACCTGTTAACTGACCGCCCGGCCTCGGACAGGCACACTGACGCCGTGTCCCCAGCCCCATAATCCATAAACTTCCGGAAACGGAAAAGTTCTCATTTAGCAGCAAAAACAGAGTCAGTTTTAATGTTTAATATTTGGGACACTTAGCGTGAACCTTCTCACGCTTCCCTGTACAAACACCAACAGGCTTTGGATTACGGACGCTGCCCCAGGCCACCGCCGCCACCCCCCCCCC